AAGACGTCGTTCCAGCGCTCTGTGGGTTGTTCGGAGAGCCTTTGACGTAGCCACAGTGTCAGGCCACGTCGCTGCTGCGTAGCAGAGCGCAGAGAGAACAGTTGAATCGAACAGGTGGGCTCAGAGCTCTGGGTCCGTCAGCTGGTCTGTGGCTTCCTTTATGGGCCCGGAGGCAGCCAAAGCTGCTCTTTGCCTCCAGTTTAGGTCTTCCTTCAGATCTTCTCCATGCTCATCGAACGTCCGAGATATACGTAAGAAGACGTCTCCGCGATTGGAGAGCCTTCTAATTCTATTTCCTAGTCCTCGCAAAAGGAGTTCTTCATGAACTGAGTCTTATTCCGGTTGATTCGCAGTCCTATTTCTCTACGTTTAGTTCCTTCAACATCGTCTCCGCTTCAGTGATATTTCTCGAGAAGAGAATAATGTCGTCCGCAAAATGAAGGTTCGAGAGAAATTTCCCATCAACTCGTATACCTCTCTCGTTCCAATCCAGTGATTTCATCACGCACTGCAACTCGGCGGTAAAACAGCTTTGGCGACACGGCGTCGCCTCGTCAAACCCCCTTCGAGATTGGTATGTTAAGGAGACGATGGAAAAACTGAACCGTTGTAGAGCAGTTCTAGCAGTCGGCCTGTCCTCAAGTAAGATGGGTCCACCCCTTTCGACGACGCTGACAGTATGGCATTAGTCTCGCTGTCAAACGCTTTTTCATAGCCGACGAAGGTTAGGTCGAGGGATAGGCGGCACTCTCAGCTAACCTCAACCTCGAGACTGTCTAGAGGTGATCCAAGCAACTGAATCCATCTTGGCAAAATCCAGCTTGTTCTACAAGTTGGGCTTCATCTCGTAAAAAGCTTGTACAGCACGCTTAAGGCATCCTGAACAGAATTCCGAAGATCCTCACCCTTTGAAGAAGGATTGTTCGAAAGGTCTTCCACTGGTCGGGGATCCTTTCCTTTTGAATGTAGGACGTTAGATGTTCCACAAATATCTCGTGTAGGCGATGTCCTCGTAAGAGTTCGACCAAAACATGGTCCCGTTCCGGAGCCGTAGCTGCTCTAATGGCCTGGATTGCGGCGCGTACTTCAGCAGCAGAATCCGTGGTGGTACTTCTCCAGTGGTAATAATGGGTTTGGCACGGGTGTTGACGAAGGGAAGAAATTGGTGTAGAATCTCTTTGTGATCGATTCCATCTTTTGTCGGAAAGATGTGCGCCTTTTCTTTTAATAGTGTTGTCAGCGGGATACGGTAGTCGAGAAGTTTCTGCGGTACTTCTTTGACTTCGCCTTCCTTGTGCTGCTTCCTTAATTTTCGATTGCCTTTACTTTCGAAGATCTTCTTGCAAAGCTGTTATGCATCTGGTATTGGCTACCAGTCGCTCGAGGTATGATGCACTCGGATCTAGCTTCAGTGCTCTCCTCCTCTCTAGCAGTTCCTTGGTGGCTTCCGAATTCCGTTGCAAATTCGTGTACGAGGTATTGAGGCACTTCCCACAGGTCCTTTGAGAAGCAGGCCGTAGTCCTTCGTTGGGTCCTTCACGATGGGATCAGAAGTGGTCCTTAGCTCCTCTAATCTGACGCCGTCATATAGGACTTCTCTCCTTCCTCCAACTCGGTGGCAGATCTTCTTTTCCAGCTTTCGGCCGCATCACTCTTTTGCTCGAAGGAGGCGGTGATCTGAGCCATTACTGATGGATGATACCACTGAGATTTCCAGTAAGCACCTCTTCGGTTGGTGAGAATGTGGTTGATTTCCACATGAGTCGTGGCGTTGGGTAACTCCTATGTCCACGGCCAGTACTCTTTCTTCATGAAAATGGAGTTGCCATGAAAAAGTCGTGCGGCGGTTAAGAGCCCAACAAGACGGTTGCCGTTCTCATTTCGGAGTCCTGATCCAAATTTTGATCCTGTGCTCCCGTTCTTCTGGCACCCCATTTTCGCAGTAAAGTCACCCACGACAAACTTACAGAAGGAGTTTTCTTTGCGGATGACTTCCTCCAAATCCTATAAAAAGCATCGAGTTCCAAATCATCAGCTGCTGATGTTGGAGAATAGCAGTTGATGATAGTGATGATTTTCTGATGCAGACGGAGTCAAAGGATAACCAGGCGAGGTGATAGGATCTCATGCGAATCGAAAGATGCACAACAGATCGGTGTGCAACAAATCTAACGCCTCCAGCCTTCCGTGATGGAACCTTTTCACCATTAATGATGAGTGTGCCATCACTCAGCTGCCTCAAGTCCGCCTTCCTGGACTTTGTCTCCTGCAAGGCGATCACGTCGTAGCTGATGCGCCCTGCAGCTTCGAGAAGCGCGTGAAGATCGGCGCAGGTGGAGACCAGGCCTCGGCACGAGGGCTCCGATTGAACCTTACGAGAACGAATACCCGCTTGAAAATCCAGGAACTTACGAAGTCCCCTTTGTTACGTGTACAAACGCGTGCAATCAGGATAAGCACTGCAGTACCATAAACTTGGAGCGCGTTTTCTTCATTAAGGAAAAACAATTTAGGGCCCTAGCAAGGAAGGGAGAAAATGCTGTGATCTGGTTATTA